TCCATTGTATTTGAATGTGACTCAATATTGAAGTTTGAAGGGGACACAGAATAGCGGACCCTCTGTTTCATGAGGGTCCAGCCTCTTGGGGATTTCTGGCCTCGCCACTAAACTGGCCACATAATCACGCAAGAAAAAAAAGTGCACAAAAGGACTCTTTTTATCTAAAATGTGCCCCAGAAACTCTAGAAAATAGCTGACACATAGAGACTTTTGTTCATGAGTGCAGTCCAGTCTGATGTGGAGCTTTGAAAATCAGTGCATCTCAGTGAGACATCTGAATGAGTCAGAATGCAGGAGATCAGCCAGACAGCGTCAATAATCACACTCAAGTCTTCATTTTTACCCTCAACCATACCTTATCATGCAGCACTTCATCCATTTTTTTGCAAACTAATGTCTCATTACTGTTTTGGAAAACAATATATTATAGTTAATATTTATTTTAGTTCATCAAAAATATGATAGAGCGAGGCAGTGGTGCAGTAGGTAGTGCTGTCGCCTCACAGCAAGAAGGTCGCTGGTTCGAACCTCGGCTCAGTTGGCATTTCTCTGTGGAGTTTGCATGTTCTCCCTGCCTTCACGTGGGTTTCCTCCGGGTGCTCCGGTTTCCCCCACAGTCCAAACACATGCAGTACAGGTGAATTGGGTAGGCTACATTGTTTGAGTGTGTGTGAATGTGTGTGAGGATGTTTCCCAGAGATGGTTTGCGGCTTGAAGGGCATCCGCTGCGTAAAAACTTGCTGGATAAGTTGGCGGTTCATTCCGCTGTGGCGACCCCGGATTAATAAAGGGACTAAGACGACAAGAAAATTAATGAAATGAAAATATGACTTGCTGCAGAATAGAACATTTACATTTATTCTTCATTATTTAAGTTAAGCAAAGTGAAGCTTTACAAATTAATTTCGAGAGGAGCACGTGATATGATTGTGCACTGCTGGCCACTCATCCGTAATTAGTAATAATGCAATCAGAACGATCCTAGTTTACTATAAATGGATCACTTTCTCCTTATTGCTCTGTTCATTTTGGAAGAATCCCCCCTTCCACCCCATCTCCTCCTTTTTTTCCCCGTCTAAAGGGGGAGCGATTGAGGCCTACCTGATCTCGGATCCCCGGATATGCTTATTGACCGGGCGGGAGCCCTGGGCTCAAATATCTCAGAGCTCAGGATTCTCTCCCGGGACAGCATGCCAAACCTGCTATAAATGCCAAGCATATCTAAGTGGGAACTCTTGAAAGTGTATTTTGGGAGAAGTTGATGAAATAACGTGTTGTAAATCCAGCAGCTTGAATCTCTCCACTAATATTGTGATGTCAACAACCAATATATAGATCAAATATGACCTTTATTATGATGTTTGGTCAATAAAATACATGTTTGTGTACATTTTTGAGAGTCAGATTATCAAATATTTCACAATAGAATCAATTTGAGGCGAGAATATTGATCATAAAAGCTTTACATGCACAGATATGGCAAGAATGGTAAGATTCATGTTGTTTTGCCCCTGCAACAAACCATCGGAATTTCCATATGCAGGATTTGGGCCACTTTGTGACATCATAAACCTTGGAAAACTCTAGCTTCAATCCAAGAACCAATAGGAGCGCAGAATCTGTTGACACAATCATGCGACTGTAGCTTGGTTGCTAAATGGCTAACATGGATTTAATTGAGAAACTAGCTGTGTTTATGTGCTTTATGAAGGCTGAAACACAGCGTGGATTCGCATCTCATTGGGAGATTTTGATAAATAGGCATCAGTCATAGCGGGGAACTCACTTTTGTCCATTCCTCGTGTTTTTTTCGCACTTTTACAATGCAGTGATTATCTGCCAGTGTGTTCGGAGGCTCTGTTCTGCCCCCGACTGTTACTTCCATTAAATTGATTTACTTTTTAATTGTCGGCTCATCATTACAAACTAAGAAGGTGTTTGGCGAGCTCTGGCTGTAATGGAGTGGATTTGGCTGCTGTCGGCGCCGTGTGGTGTTTGCAAATGGCTGCCAGGATCTGAAAAGGGTGACCGGGGTGTCATGACGCTCCTATCCAAAACTAACAGGAGCGTGATGTACCGCGCCAGACGAAAGCCCAACAACATCCCTGGATATCTGCCACGCTCGTGCGGATGGAGAGTGTGTGGGGTGTGAAAAGCGTGTGCGTGCGCAATCTTTTGGCCTGCCGCCTCTATTATATCAGATCTGTTCAGCGGTAGGCCATGCACATGTTGATACACTGCATGGCTGCGAATAGCCGCCCGTACCACCGAAGGTTAATTAATCTGAGGAATATTGTTGTCCTGAAATGTTCATCTTCCCCTCCGTGCTCGCAGATGCCCTTCGCTGTTGGATGGCGAGGGTATTTACTCATCCCATCATGCCAACAGGCCCAGAAGGGGGCGGCTTTACTGCCAGCTCACTTCCTCCCCCACACACACACCAACCTGCCATCGTTTAGCCAAGATCTAGTCTCTTCTTTTATCTTTCAAGATATTTCTTTCTCTCGCTTCCTTGGGCCAAGCACGCTCCTGTTTTCTTAAGGCCTTTGTGAAACTGTCATGTATTGAGGCATCTGCGTTGTGGCTGTAATTACACATTATGCAGTTACTTTACAGCCTGCTAAAAGTGGTTCGCATGCAAGCTTTAAACACATTTCGGTTAGGGATTCACCGAAATGAAAATTCTGGATGCACTTGGACGGATGCTGAAACTGAAAATGCTTGATATTGTTTTATTCAATGGTATAAAGTGCTTTTTTTAGAGCTGGGCAAATATTAATTATGATTATAGTCAGTTTTAGCCACAGCCATATCACCCTGCAGCACACCGGTTTCCCACTGAAGCTAAGCAGGGCTGAGCCTGGTCAGTACCTGGATGGGAGACCACATGGGAAAACTAGGTTGCTGTTGGAAGTGGTGTTAATATGGCCAGCAGGGGGCGCTCAACCTGTGGTCTATGTGAGTCCTGATGCCCCAGTATAGTGAAGGGGACACTATACTGAGCGTCGTCTTTTGGATGAGACGTTAAACCGAGGTCCTGACTCTCTGTGGTCTATAATCATCTCATGACACTTCTGGTAAAGAGTAGGGGTGTAACTCCGGTGTCCTGGCCAAATATTATTGAGGCATGCATTTGTATATGTGACAGAATTCACATGCAATTCCTCTTATGTTTCCCCTTTATAAGTTTTAAGTTGCAAGTAATGGGTTGTTGCCTCTTTAAGAGCCTATTCTTGATGTAGTGAGTGAAGGAAACTTGATGACCGGTTTATGGAGTTTCTTCCAAAAACAATGTCTTTTGTTAACACTTTTTTTTTCATACAGTATTTTCATTATTTCCTCTCTTAATTTGTCCTACTTATTAAAAATAAATATATATTTTTGATCTGATATGAAATGGAGAATATGTAATGAGTTTGGCAGACTGGGTTAATGATCTATCGCATCAAACGTGTTGCTTTGCATTTTACGAGTTACATCGTCAGAAATATCCTGTAAGGTCTAGAAATGCCTTGTAATATCAGAGACTCTAGATTACACAAGACATGTCACTCGTATAGTTTGAATGGGGAAAAGTGTAACTGTCAATATGGGGAATAAAGCTCCGCCTACTAGTACAGGAGCCAATCATCGATTGCTATTTAGTGAATAAATCCCTCCGTCTAGTACAGGAGCCAATCATCAATCACTTTATGGTGAATAAATCCCGCCTTTGAGTACAGAAGCCAATCATCGATCGCTATATGGCAAATAAAGCCTGCCTTCTAGGTACAGGAGCCAATTATCAATCACTTTATGGTAAATAAATAACGCCTTCTAGTACAGGAGCCAATCAACAATCACCATATGATGAATAAATCCCGCCTTCTAGTTCAGGAGCCAATCATCAATCACCCTATGGTTAATAAATCCCACCTTCTAGTACAGGAGCCAATCATCAATCACGTTATGCCGAATAAATCCCGCCTTCTAGTACAGGAGCCAATCATCAATCACCCTATGGTTAATAAATCCCGCCTACTAGTACAGGAGCCAATCATCAATTATGTTATGCCGAATAAATCCCGCCTACTAGTACAGGAGTCAATCATCAATCACCCTATGGTTAATAAATCCCGCCTACTAGTACAGGAGCCAATCATCAATCACGTTATGCCGAATAAATCCCGCCTTCTAGTACAGGAGCCAATCATCAATCACCCTATGGTTAATAAATCCCGCCTACTTGTACAGGAGCCAATCATCAATTATGTTATGCCGAATAAATCCCGCCTACTAGTACAGGAGTCAATCATCAATCACGTTATGCCGAATAAATCCCGCCTTCTAGTACAGGAGCCAATCATCAATCACGTTATGCCGAATAAATCCCGCCTTCTAGTACAGGAGCCAATCATCAATCACCCTATGGTTAATAAATCCCGCCTTCTAGTAAAGGAGCCAATCATCAATCATGTTATGCCGAATAAATCCCGCCTTCTAGTACAGGAGTCAATCATCGATTGCTATATGGCAAATAAAGCCCGCCTTGAAGTACAGGAGCCAATCATTAATCGCTATCGATTAATGATACTCCGGGGTAGGGGCTCGGATTGAACATAAAACAATTAAATTGTCCCCCAAAAAACCCAGCTCATTTTAAATTGGTAGTTTGAACAGTTTTTTGTGAGTGTATGTCTGAATGTGTCCTCCTGCTCTTGAAGACCCTGCTCAGTGAGTCGAGGTGTTTAATTAAACTTAAAGTTAATCTCAGTGTTCTCCAGGAGCAGGGTTGAACATAACTATGTGAATCGTTGGTTTTCAGCCAGTGCAGTCTTGGTAAATACAGAGCGTGATCAGCTTGTCTTGATTGATTCATGTTTTCTTCATCTGTCCACTATTTGAGTGGCTTGTACACGTTCACAATAATGCAGTTTGGTTTGAGCGATGCTGCTGTAATTTCTCTCTTCGAATTCATGCCAGAGCATTGATTTGCCCATTATTCTTTCTCACTCCAGATAACAAAGGACCTGAAGCAGTACGATAATAAAATAATCGAGTGCACGTTCGTCAACAACACCTGGGTGTTCATGCGGCAGAGAGTTGACAAGAGCTTCCCCAACGCATACGACACGGCCATGGGTAAGATTCATATGTGTTCGACTCAAGCCAGGGTCAGGCTCAGTTTCTGAGTCTAGAATTGAGAAATACCTGTTATTAGCAGCACCAAGGGGCATTAAGAAGTTGGAAATGCTTTAGAGCAGCAAACCTTGTTGCTAATTTAAACCATAGCTGCATGTTTATATGATAATGCAAATCTGTGCTGCTCTCTTTCTTCTCAGTAAGAGAACGTACAAGACAAATGGAAAACATATGCGCAATCTTTTTAGACACAGTTCACCAATATCGCATTAACAGATTAAAATGATAATTATGGGATGGTTTTATTCTAAAGTTTATTAGTAGGGTTTTTGAAAGTGTCATCTTTGCTACAAATCGATACTGAAATTTAAAAAATGTCCATTTCCCGCTAGTGTTGTCATGATAATAAATCAAATCAAATCAAATTATGGTCATTAAATTACAAAAATATAATATAAAATAATGGGTAATTAAATTACAGAAATTTACTTAAAGTGAAATTTAAAACATTTGTTATTTTACGGTAAATTTCTGTAATTTTACAGCCGCTATTTTACGTTTTTTACCCCAGCTGCTGGAAATAAACCGTACAATTACAGATTTTTTTTAAGGGTATTTAAATGAAGTAACAAGATTGTAAAACATTGTTTAAAAGTAACCACAAGATTGTTATGCATTACTTTTAAAAGTACACTGTAAAAAATAAATCCGTAAAATTTACGGTAAAAAAACGGCAGCTGTGGTTGCCAGTACTTTACCGTTAAAAACACGGTACAAACCGTAAAAGTAATTTTTCATTTTTACGGTTAATTACTGTATTTTATGAATTTATAGAGGTAATATGTCTGTATTTTGAATGATCAACATCTACACATCTTTTGTTACACAGTTAGACACGTCAGCACACCCACATGCAGGTGATGAGGAAGTTACATAATGAGCCAAAGCTCATCACAATCAACTTCTCCCACAAGCAGAAAAGAGTATCAGCATATAGAAGGTGCTCAGTGTCATTCACACAGCTACTAAACACCAGTATGGTAACACGCATAAAATTAAAGTCATGAGATAAACATTGTTAATCAACATTAGATGTAACATAAATCTCTAATGTACATAACTGATGGGGAAACAACTAAAAAGATCCATATTAATGTTAACAAAATGCATAAAAAGTTATGTGCCATGCAGGGAATTCTGGGAAAGTCAATTTACGGTTATTCGCCGTATATATTAGGGAAACATACTGTTAACCAGGTTATGGATTTGTACTGTAGCATTTTTACAGTTTTTTACCGTTGAAATCACGGCCATTTTTACAGTGTAACTTTCCCCAACACTACGTCTCTAATATTTAGTTACTTTTCAATGAAATGACACCAGATTGTAAGATTGTAACACATTACTTTTAAAAGTAACTTTCCTTAACACTGCATCTTTAGTATTGATACTTTTTAATAAAGTGAGACCAGATTGTTACTCTTTTTTTTAAAGTAATGTTCCCCAACCCTGCGTGTCTAATGTTTAGTTCATATTTAATGAAGTTAAATAGTAACTAAATCCTACATCTTTGTTATTTAGTTACTTTTTTTAAACGAAGTACCAGATTGTAACTTATTACTTTTAAAAGTAACTTTTCAGAACACTGAATCTCTAGTAATTGGTTACTTTTTTAAATGAAGTAACACAATATTGTCACGTATTACCTTAAAAAGTAACTTTCCCCTACACTACATTTCTAATATTTAGTTACTTTTTAAAGACGTAACACCACATTGTAACCCATTACCTTTAAAAGATAACTTTCCTCAACACTGCATCTCTAGTATTTGGTTAGCTTTTTCCCATGAAGCAATGTCAGATTGTAACACATTACGTTTGAATGTAACCACAACATTGTTATGGATTACTTTTAAAAGTAACTTTCCCCAACACTGTCCAGCTATAAAGACATTGAGAGCTTGACTTTAGAGCAACTTGACTTAACTATGTGAGCTGACTATAATAAATCTGTGTGTGTGTGTGTTGTGTGTCAGCCGTGTGTAACAGTATCCAGCATCCCGTCACCAAGGAGATCCTGCTGGAGTTTCTGGAGCGCTGCGCTCAGGTTCAGTCCCGCAAAAACCCAGCCGACTCGGACCTCATGCCCCCACCGCCACCCAAGAGGAGCGCCAACAGCATCCCGCAGTAGCACTGACACACCGGACTCGCTCCCTTTCACCGTTTTTTATTCCCAAAATGTTCCGCAGCTCTACCCGAGAGACTTCTGGAGAACATTCAGCTTTTTGGCTTCTGTGCTTGAAGATGTCTGGGGTGGATTTAAAAACACTGATGCGCCTCAAAATGGGCTGTTCTTACTCAGAGTTTTTGTCTTGTTTCCAGTCCAAACATCTGAAAACTCTTAAATCAAGAAGCTTTTTTTAGACAAGGTTTTCAGAAATAATCAGTGAAAATTCGGTGAGTTTTTCCTTAAAACAAGAATAATCTGCCTATGGGGTTGGCTGAATAATTGTATTCGCTTTAAACTAAGATTAACTTGCCACATTGGCTGATTATTTTCCTTGTTTTATGGAAAACCTCACTTTATTTCTAAAAACAAAGCAGTAACTTCTACTTGTCTTGAGAAATGCTTCTTGAATTAAGATTTTTTAGATGTTTGGACTAAAAACAAGACAGAAATCTGAATAAGAAGGCTTTTTTTTGCAGCGTAAGAGATTGTTCCAACATTGAGTGCTGAGGCGCGTTCTTATTTAAAAGAATAAAACTGAAGATGACTTGCATCGTTTTCTCCTTTATGTTTTGTATTTGTAGCCGTCGCTCTCCGCAATGTTTGTTCTGCTTTTTTACCGAACAGAGCCGTGAGGTGTGTGTAGAGTATGTGGATTCAGACTCAAACCTTCTGAGTCCTATGAACTTCCAGCAGATGTGGAGCTCTTAACACTGATCACTAACCCACAGGCTGATGTCTTACGATTGTGTTTGTTAGGTGAGAGTGTGTGTTTGGCTGTTTGTATGTCTTTTATTTAAAAGTTGTCTCCCCAACCTTTTTTTTTTTCTTCTCTCAGGTTTTGTTTGTTAAAAATGCCAGGTGTGTTTCATTTTTTCCTGGATCTTTTGGCTCTTTATTGTTTTGGAGGAAAAACTATATTAAAGCAATAAATCCAATACGGTTGCCCGCTGTTCCAGTATCTACACACACATTCATATGCAGTGCGGGGGATAAGTATTCAATACATCAACATTCATTTACACTGAGGAAGGGCAGAGGCTTGTTGAAGAACTACTGAGAGATTTCAGCTGCTGTCTGGGACTTCCGTGCCCAACTACACCTCCCTTTCTTCATGTGTTCAATACTTTCTCCCTGCGTCATTTCATTTTATTATTCATAACTTCTCTTGTAAACTAATTAGATTTGTTTTCTTTGCATATATCGATTTCTCTGGTTGTTACCGACATCTGGTGAAAATTTTAAATGTGTTTTCTAAGATAATGGTGCCACGTTCAATACTTATTTCTCCCGCTGTATGTGACCATGGACCACACTACAAGGGTTTTTTGTCTTGTTTCTAATCCAAATATCTACAAATTCATAATTCAAGAACAAAAGAAGTCTTGTTTTCAGAAATAATTAGTCAAAATTAAGCGAGTTTTTGGCTAAAACAAGGGGTCGCTTGGTGATTTCCAAAGCTCAAATAAATTTGATTAAACTATTTGAATGACCATATTTTATTCATAACCCACAGAAGATAGTTAATCGTTGCGTTAAAGAAACAACAACATACAAATTAAATTAAACTAAATTTTTATTAAAATGTAATTAAATTAATAAATGACTATAAAAACATTATATGATTAATGGACTGTTGCATTTTTGTGTTGTCAGTATGCTCATGTTTATATATGCCTTTAGTTGTGTCTGCAACCTTTATATATTCACAGCACAACCACCTTGAAAAATGGGGGTCACGAGTCACTGACATTGTTATTTTGGGGGGTCGCGGGCTGAAAAGTTTGGGAACCTCTACTTTACATAAACAAATAAGAGAGACAAGTATAAATAAAAAAGAAACAAGTAATGTAAAAACGTTTGAGCCACTTGTACATCCCGGAAGTGTTCAGGAAAAGCAAAACACAGGCGAAGAAACTCGACACAGAGGAACATTAACGCCAACTAGCGTTTCGGAAGTGTTAATACAGACCAACAGAGACAGCAGCAGAAGTATAAATGCACAGCTACGCGCGTTACATGTGCCGTGGGTTACACCGGTCACCAGACGCAGAAGTATAAACCAGGCTTAACAGACTTCTCCAAGATTATTAAGTTTACCCTATTGGCATTTAAAGTCTTATCGAACTGGATTTAATCCATATTTTATTTCATTTGGGCAACTAAACATCTTATTAGAGAAGTGTTACAATATTGTAAGATATTAATTTTAAGAATAACTTTCTCCAACACTGTATCTCTAGTATTTAGTTACTTTTATAAATTAAGCAATGCAAGATCGTTACAAATTACTTTTAAAGAGCGAATCTTATACATTATAAAAGGTTGTATTTTAGTTTTGGGGTCTCCAACAGCAGGCTGATCTGCATGCAAGGACAAAAAAACACGTTCATTGTCTTATAATATGCATTGATTTTTACCTGATTATCCCAGCGACTCCCATATGAATCGTTCAGCGATTTGTTTGTTCCCAAACCCCTCCTTAGTGTGAGTCTGTAATCTGTAGAGATATCTAAAAATTACTGAACCGAGAAGCATTTTCTAGATGAGTCTTGTGTTCAGAAATAAATGAAAATTAAGTGACTTTTTCCTTAAAAAAATAAATAAATAAGTAAAGCAGCGTTCTGGATGAGCTTCAACTGTCTATCTTTTTGGAATGTTACTGTTACAGTAATCCACCCTAGTGCTGATAAAAGCATGAACAAGTTTTTCTAAGTCTTCACTGGAAACAAAGCATCTGATTCCTGCAATGTTGTTTGAGATGATAGTGTGCTGATTTAGTTTCTGCTTTGACATGACTACTGAAACTCAGATCTGACTCTAGAGTCACACCAAGATTCTTGACCTTATTGTCTGTTGTTTGACCTTTAGTGCCAAGGTACACATTCACCTTGAGAAGCTCATCTCTGTTCCTAAACGCAATGACAGTTTTCTCTTTGTTTAACTGAAGAACGTTTTGGCACATCCAACTGTTCATTTCATCAATGCATTGGCAGAGGGTGTCAATGAGGTTGTAGTCATTAGGCAGTAAGGCTGAGTAGATCTGAGTCCCTGTTACACTAGTGTGTTTTAGTTTGAAAATGCATAAGTTTTGCTACGGTTACGCCATCTGTCCACACTACGCCAGAGTTTTCGAGCACCGAATGTGTTTTGGAAACACTGGAGAGGCCGTTTTCATTCTGAAGCGCTTCTGCTCCGTCTCAGTGTGGATGAGGGAAAACGGAGACATCTGAAAACGGAGGCGGGGCTGCTGAGATTCGCTACCTGATTGGGGCTTTTGTGTCATTGCTTATCCCTTATTCGTCAAGCCTCTATCACATGACTATAACACATGGCTTTAACGCTACCGGAAGACAGCAGACCAGCCTTCACTGTAAACAACAACATGGACACAGAAATGGGAGCGCTGTTTGCACTATTGTCTGTTTCAGGCGCCATTGTGCAGTTATTCATTTGTTACGTTTAGTAACTCGACCTCGTCGTCTGTCCACAAAAACACCTCTCTTGCTTTCTTCGCCTTCGCGTTCATTTTTCAACCGGCGTTTGCTGACTAACAATAACCAAATGCCGAGCGAGACACATGCTTCCTGTTTATACTAGAGCGCGCATGCCCAGAGTCTGCGAATGGTCACGTGATATACGTTTTTGGTGGCGTAGTGTGGACGGAGATATGTTCAGAAACGCTGGGTGAAACGCTAGTGTGGACGCGGATCTATTTTGATCTAGAACGCCATTTTAAAACTAAAGCGCACTAGTGTAAACGGGGCCTGAGTGTCCTCAGCAGAGCTGTGGTAGGAGATTTGGTTCTTTCTATTTGGTATTTAGAAGATTTGGCTAAGCAAAATAATCTGGCTTTTATTTTTAAGATTGAGATTATTTAGTTTAAGCCGTTGGTGGATCATTTAAAGTCTTATCAAACTGGATATCATCCATATTTCATTTCACATGGGCGACTAAATGCATCATGTGAGCTCATTTGAGCAGAACGCTGGAATATGTCGATTGTTTGTGTCATTTGTTAGGATGTGTGCAGATTTCAGAGGTTGTCGCAGGTAATTGAAGTGTCAGAGCTGAAGAAGCTGCGGTTGTTCATTCCTCTGCCGCGTCTCGTCTGCTGTTTACAGTGGTGTGCAGAAGCAGCTCATTTTCACCTTCACATCCTGCTCTCGTCGTTCCCTCAGAAGACGAACGCTGCGCGGAGCTCATCTGCATGCCGGAGACATTAGACTCTGATTGCGGCTCATATTGCACTCATGATGGCTTTATGAGGCCTCAAACGCTCTTTCGGGCGATTGAGAGATGAAATGAAGGACGCCATGAGCTTTAAGCAGCGAGAGATTTAGAGCAAAGCAAAGCAGAAAACCACGACCCTGTCAGTAAACACATCGCTCATGTGTGTTATTAAACAAGACAAACATCTCTACACTTTCTTAATATCTCCATGTTACACTGGCAATACACAACAATAACATGTTGAGGTCTTCCTGTTAGATTAGGGTTCAGATAAAGGGACAGCTCCTAAAATTGTCAGGTCATATTCATCTGCTTTCCGGGGCGCGGGGGCAGCAGTCTTAGTAGAGAACTCCAGACTTCCCTCTCCCCAGACACGTCCTCCAGCCCCTCCGGGGGGATCCTGAGGCGTTCTCAGGCCAGCCGAGAGACATAGTCCCTCCAGCATAGTCCCTTGGTGGGACAACTCTGGAACTCCTCCCTAGGTAGGCGTCCAGGAGGCATCTCAGCTGACTTCTCTCGATGTGGAGGAGCAGCGGCTCTACTGCGAGCCCCTCCCGGGTGTCAGAGCTCCTCGACCTATCCATGCGCCCTGCCACCCTTCGAAGGAAGCTCATTTCGGCTGCTTGCATCCGAGATCTTGTCCTTTCAGTCACGACCCAAAGCTCAAGACCGTAGGTGAGAGTAGGAACGTAGATGAAGTCAGAGTTATTCGCCCTCCTGTGGATTGTTTTCTTTTTTAAATATTTCCCAGATGATGTTCAACAGAGTGTTCACAGGCTTTCCCTGCAGAAGCAGGACGGCGTGGGATGATGAAAGCCGCGTCTCCAGCACTGTCAAACTGCAGATCTTCAGCATTCAGCAGCGTCTTCAGTCACATTGAGCTTTAATAAGACTAGCAAGAAGGTCACTGTTTCCAGTCCCAGCTGGGCCAGTTGGTGTTTCTGTGTGGAGTTTGCATGTTCTCCTCGTGTTGGCATGGGCTTCCTCCGGGTGCTCCGGTTTCCCCCACAGTCCAAACACATGCGCTATTGATCAACTAAATTGACTAGTGTATGAGCAAGTGTGTGTATGGGTGTTTCCCAGTACTGGGTTGCGGCTGTAAGAGTATCTGCTGTGTAAAATATATGCTGGAATCGTTGGCGGTTCATTCCGCTGTGGTGACATCTTATAAATAAGGGAATAAGCCGAAGGAAAATAAATGACTAAATGTAGATTGCTGACATCACAGTGGCGCAGTGAGTAGCACAATCGCCTCACAGCAAGAAGGTCACTGGTTCGAGCCTCAGCTGGGTCAGTTGGTGTTTCTGTGTGGAGTTTGCA